TATTGTTGGACTTTCAATTCTATTCCATTGATCTATTCTTTAAAGCAATTTTAGCTATCCTTGTGCCAGTGCCAGGCCACTTTAATTACCATTCATTTGTAGTTAGTTTTAAGTCATTAACTGTGAGTCCTCCTATTTTGTTGTCCTTTGTTTTGCTTTGTCCAGATACCCTGTAATTCCATATGAATTTTAGAATTAGCGTATTAGTTTCTACAAAGAGGTCAGATAAAGATTTCCTTGAGTCTGTGGATCAGTTTGGGGAGTATTGCCATCTTAATAATGTGAAGTCTTCCAATCTATGGACTTGAGATGTGCTTTGGGTGTGTTGGGAAGGTTCTCCATAGGGGCTCCTGGTAGGCTTCACAGAGAGCGAGGTGTAAGCATCTTTTTAAAAAACTGAACTTATTGGGGTGACATTGGTTTGTAAAATGATGTAGGTTTCAAGTGAAAAACTCAATAAAACATCATCTGCACACAGCATCATGTGCCCATCCCCCAGGTTAGTGGAGCAATTCCCTTGCCCAGCTCTCAATTCCATCTTTCTGACTTCCTGAGAGAGCCTCTCTCAAAGGATTTGAACTTGCCACGAAGACTTCATGGCAGCAGGGGCTCCTCTCCTCCTAGGTTAGCTGTGCAGCTGCACATCAGAGCCTGAAGCTTCCATTGGAGCAAATGTACTGAAAGAGGACTTTCCCCCTCTCTCCTACTTCCCACTCAGCATAAATGTCGCTATGTTTTAATTCCCAATTTCAAAAATTGGCTCCCTGAAAAGCCACCACTCATTTGTAGCCATATGGTACTCCTCATGGCCCTTGTTGCCACAGGTGTTTTCTTGCTTCTCTGCCTCTGATGATCCCACTTGAAAGGAGGCCCAAGCTTTCAAGAGTGCCCAGTGGCTAACATCTGTTGGACATTAAGGATACCCAAGTATGGGCTGAGGTGGGAGGCCCTGGCTGGATATGAGGTACTTGCAGCCCCAGGCATCACACCTCTCCTATGCCATCTGCTCCCTGGGGCCTGGTATATTTCAGAGGGCAATAGAGACTGCATTAAAATCACTGGGAGAAATTTAAAATAATGCCCAAGGTTATAAAAATACTAAAGTAAAATATGGGGGATATAGTGAATAATATTGTGATAATGATGTATGGTACCAAATGGGTCCTAGGATTACCGTGGTGATCATTTTATAAGATATATAAATGTCTAATCCCTAAGTTGTATACCTGAAACAAATAGTATGTCAACTATAATTGAAAAATTTAATAAAATGTTCATGAAAGAAAAGTTCCAGTCTTGATTTAGGAAAACAAAAGTTCATTCCTTCATTTTTTTAAACAAGGTACAGTACAATTGAACAATGCACATTAATGAAAAAATGCAACTGCATTTTCTATTGCTCACTACTTTTTAAATAATTCAGATATTAAGGAAAAGACTGCTAATCACATTAATGCATTACAGAAATCAAAATTAACTTACCACACAAAATAAATTAAAACATTAAATATTAACCTTTTCAGTGCAACATATACAGAAGTCGGAGTAACAAGTTCTAAAAAAAAAAAAAAAGCATCGGGTTTGTATAATAAAGAGAATGAAAAGTTGAACACTTCAGTCAGTTACTACATTAGAAAGAGGGGTTGCTTTTCAGTACTGTGTGTGTGCTTACCACTGGATCTTTCAGAGAACCTGGTAAAAATCAGTGGCTACAGAGAATAGGTCTTATGTTAGAACATTAAGAGCCTACATAGGTATTTATCTGTTTCTGTGATGTCCTCCATAGTCCTGGGCTTTTGAATAATCCCCCCACCTTACTGAGCAGGTTGGGAAAAATCAAAGTTCATATCCTACTAAAAGGGTCAGGGCCCCCTGAGCAGTGTTGGAGCCTGGTTGATCCATTCTTGCCAAAATTGCCTGGAGAAGCCACCAGTGGCCCATGTGCACTGAGACAACCTGGCCCTGGAAGACCTGGTTGGAGATGCCAGATACTTTTTTCTACTTGCAGAGAATAGTCTCCCAAGAAACTCTAGAACCAAATCCTCCTCTCCCTCATCAAAGGGGGTGGGGAAATGTCAATCCTACCTCCTCCTCCTTTCTCAGGAAAATAGACTTGGGGGCATTCTGCCCACCTTCTCTGTTGGAACACAATGGCAAGCTCATAGTTGCTTTTCCCACATGTGTCTGGACACGTTTTCCAGGTCAGGATTGGCTGCTGTATGTCTTCAATCTAGAGGACAATGTTTCCTGCTAAGATGTTTGAAGTTTTGGCTTGTGGAACAGGCTCCATAGAAGATGTGGAAGCATCTCCTCCCTTTTAAAAACGGAGTCTCTTCATTTTTCCTGAGGGAGCGATGGAAACAGCGGTGTTTCCCACTCCCAGGTGTGGCTACCTATCAGGTCAAGTCTTGGGAATGATTCCCTAATCATTAGGAACACATGGCTTTCTAAAAAGCAAGGAAACACAAGGAACCCGCAAAGATGGATTAGAAGATGCATTTTAATCCTGAAATGGGGGCATTTTACAGCTAACCAAAGCAGTATCAATACCATAAAATGGCTCAGGGGTCCAAAGCTTGTTGGCCATCTGATTTCTAGGAATCACCAAAAGAAGTAAGACTATGTAATATCCTGGGACGTGGACAAAGATCCAACCAGACCTGCCTTGACCCTGAACTTGCTTCCAACTCTTTTTAAGCCTGGTTTGCAGAGTCTAGGGAAGCGTACATTCGAGCCTGTTCATTGCATGCTTGTACAGGCACAAGGAAGGGGGCGCTGGCAGCTGTGACTTCTTGGATCTGGGGACAGGGACATTCACAGACACTGAACTCAGAGACCCCACAGGGAAGCAAGAAGGTTCCCCCCACTTCCACCCATGTCTTCTCACACCTCTGCAAAAGCTCTTGGAAGCCTAAAGACCAGATATCAATCCTTCCATTCACTAGGTGAATAAAGTCTCACAAACATTTTTACATCCGTCCAAACCTTTTAAAGGCAACTGGACCTCAAAGAGTCTCTAAAAGACTGGGGAAAGATAGTCCTAAAGAAAAAATGTGACCTCAAGTTAACAAGTAACACTGCTCCATTTCCATTAGTCTCTTTAGACCACAGACTGTCAGAGGCTGAGGGGAAAAGTGAGTGCCCACTGGGGTCTATAAGCCAGCATGAACTGGATTGGTCTCTGAGAGAGATGCTACATATATCAGCGTCAGTCCACACATCTGTAGGAATGGCCCAAGGGATGCAAACTTAGATCTATTTTCTTTTATACCGTAGTTAAAACCTGAGAGCCATGTCAATTACATGGTGAGGGCCAACTGGTAAACAGATCCTATTTCTACTCTCAGTGCTTTGGGTGCACCATGATTCAATAAAAGTGCCAAAGTCAAGACATGGGTCATATAACTGTCTCAACTGTAAGGAAGGGAGAGAAGATTCATTGAAATAGACAGACGGGGAAAAGAATTAGGGGAGGACAAAATTAACTGGTCACTTTCAGGATGTGAGTAGCTCAATGCATTGAAGGGTTACTTGGTAGAAATCTTTCCTTTTTTTCCGAATATTAGTGAAGAAGATTTTCCTCATGTAGGGAGTTTGTACATTATTTCACTGTTATTCAGTTTCCGAATTTTAATGAAAATTCCTAGGGATGAATTCCCCACTACTTGGCAGGAGGGAGGCAGTACTTCCCACAGGCAGGCCCGTGGGTCAGAATCTACCCTCACGCCCAGGAGAACCATTTCGCCCTTTTCTGAGGGGGAAGTGAGACTCTCAGAGTAGACATGGCTTATTAGGGTTTTTGTTAATAAAACCAGCATCCCAGATGAAAACAAACAAAAAGTCATTGAAATATTTCTCCTCATGCTTGAAAATTAATAGAAAAGTTAGTTTTTTTCCTTTTAAAAATGAAGTAACAAATCAACCAAGTGACAAAATGGAAAATAAATGACCAGTTCCCCTTTCATGAATGTGGCCCCAAATGCCTGTGACTCTCAGAGGGCCCAAGTTAATCACAGAACAGTGTAGCAAGTCTTGTGTTTAACCCATGCAGACCCACACACAGGAGCATTCTTCTCTCTCCCGGACTGAGCTGACACATCTATGCTGCTGGATTCGCTAACCTTTCCACCAGAATGTATCCAGGGGCATTTATCTGAATGCTAATCTTTGTTCCCATCAGCATCTCTACCTCTGCTTCCATCTCTGTACCTCTTGGGTAGCTTTACCTAAGCCTTAGCTGTCCCAAAGAGGCCAGACATTTTTAATTGGTATAACTTTGCAGCCAGCAATACATCTATCATGAATGTAGAAGTCTAAAAGAGTTTTTATGCTTTTTACATTGACTTGAGGGATTAAAAATAAAACCATCATCCAGCTAATAAATAAGAAATTATCTCCAAGGGTGGTGGTGACTTGGGAAGGTCCTCAATATCCCATGTTTGTGGAAGACGCTGGGCTGGTTGAGGGTTTCCTGGACAGAGGACAGACATAGCTCTTCTTAAACGTGGCATCCTCACATAACCATAAGCAGTTACCCTTTCTCCACCTTCTTCCCCAATAAATGGATGAGAAAAAACTGTAACAACTATAGGAATCTCCGGTGTTGGGCAGGATGCATGCTGTTGTGGGTCCATTAAAAAGAAACACAGTCCGGCATCCATGAATGGTAGAAGACAACTACTTCTAGACTCAGACGTTGACTGACACACACATCTTGTACTGGTATAGGTAAACAGGAAGTCCGCCCCTTGCAGTTCTCTTTTGACCAGTCTTTAAATTGTGATCCACTGATTTCCTTCCTAGATCACACTGAATAGCTCCAAGCAGACATGTTCTTGACAGAGTTTTGAAGGAAGGCCCACACAAGACAAAAGGCTGCACAGCTGATTGCCGGCAGAGTAGGAAGGTCTGTCAGCATGTCCTAGGCGTCCCTTGCTGTGCCGTCCATTCTTCATTAGGGCTGCCCCAGTCCACTTGGCCAGATTCCTCTTCTGGGATCTTCAGACCACTGCACGGAAGGAAAGACAGGTTAAGATGTATGGGCCAGACCCCAACCATGCTGGCCAAACAGATTGAGACAGAGATGCATCAGCCAAGGTCACCAAGTTCTCTTGGGCACTCAGACCCAAGTCCAAATTCTGCAGGTTCAAGTTCAGGGGAAGCAGCTTTTGAAGCTGTGCTTTCAGTGCCAAAGAAAAGGCTGACCAAAAGTGAAATGAGTTGTGGCAGAAGAGAAATGGGGATGTGCTCTGTTTTGTGGGCCTCAATTCAACTGGAGGTGATTCGACCCAGTCTGTGGCTAGCACCCTCATAAAGTATGGTTTAGTGGGCAATTCATGAGCTGGTCTAGGGTTCTGGTGGTAGGATCGCTTCCTCTAAGGCCATACAAGAAAGGACCCATTTGTTTCTCAATGAGTGGGGGCCCTGAGGGCATCCTCGGTGGCTGTAGTGGTGAGGCAGCATGGACCACATTCCCAGCAGCTCCCCAGTCAGCCTGCGCAGCTTCCTATCCTCGTCCTTCTCAAGGTCCCCCGGAGGTGGGGAGGTATGCCTCATCTCAGAGACAGGGGCTTCAGCCTCAGGGGCCATCTCTGGAAGGCCAGATCTATCCCCAGGCTCAAGGCTAATGTCCTCTCAAATGTGGTAGAGAAGTAATATTAAGGAAAAACTTAACTCTGCTCTGGATGACTCTGCTGAGGTGTGGACAAATGGTACAAAATTTACTACGAATTTTCTTGAAAGGTGTAAATAACTTTTTTATTGGTGCTAAAAGACAAAATAAAATTTACCTCCATTAGCTCAATGGATGGCCCCAGGGGTAGTGGAAGAGAGATATGAGTGAAGCCTTCAGGGACCTTGGTTCTCATCATAGTGCCCCCTTCTCCTTCCATGGACTCATGGTGGGACCCCAGAAGGCCTTTGGCAGACTCAGTTTACCTATATCACCCACAAATCCTCCTCTCCGTTAAGGCTATTTTGAGGATTAATGGATTAGCATCCTCCCAGATCAAAAGAACTGCCTAGGCACAATTACTGTGGTTCTTGAAATGAAAAACAAATACATGGTGCTCCTGGGCCTTCCGTTCCCTCCAGGTCAAATACCTTGAGGTTTAACAAACACATCAGTAGCTTTTCTCTCTATGCTCTCCAGGCAACTGGAATGTCAACTGTTTATCAGAGAAGGACAGCTTTGGTGGATAAGCTTGGGACAATTGTCTCCGACCCACTACTTCCTAAAAAGAAACTTTTATGACGGGCTCTATTGCACTGCAGAAAAATGTGAGAAAGATGTGAGACTTCTCAGAGCTTGTCTGGATAAAGGAGCAATTAGGCTCCATGAGCCCCAACCTAGTGATGTTCAGATGCGGGCTTCTGAGATGTGTGTTGGTTCACATCTAGATGCCCAGTCCGCTTTGAGGATGTTGAAAAACATGCATGAAACAATGAAAAACGTAATGAAGGACACAGGATTTAAGAGTTGGAAGAGTCCTTAGAGACTTTCCATAGACCAGCCACTCACTCCACAGATGAGAAAAGGGAAGTGATTTTTTTTTTTTTAAGAAAGAAAATGAACATCTATTACATATCCACAGCTGGGAATACGCAACACTAGATACTTTATGTCCATACTTACTCAATTTGCACATTTTAAAATAGGAAAACTGAGGCTCAGAGATGCTACGTAACTTGTTAAAAGTCACACAGTCACCAGTAAGGATAAAGAGCTCCCCTTTGAGTAAAACACACTTTAGGCTAAATTAAACCTGACTTGATAGACAAATATCCTATTTTCTCCCTTTACCTGCCTCATCCTCCAAGAACCTCTGCCCTGACCTGGAGAAGGAGTCATTTTCTCCCCCGAAGGGGAAAAGGCCCCTCCTCAGTGCAGCCCCCTTACCTGTTTCTGAGTGGCAGCAAGCAGGCCTTCCTTTCAGGAGGGCGCTGGGCTTCTCGTGCTGGCAGACGAGGGCCCGGCACCACTCACAGTATTTTCGGACCTGGCAGCAGCTGCAAAGACACAGAGGACACGGTTGAGGCAGGAGCCTGGCATGAGAGCCCAGCTGGTACAGTGTCTGCCCGAGGGGCCTTCTGGGCAGCTCTGGGCTTTCAACCAGCCTCCCATGGGGGCCTCCAGAGGGACAGACGCAGCAAGGGACTGAGGGCCCGGCTGGGTGGTGGCCTTTAGGGCAGATGCTGGACAACAACAAAGACACCCATTGACCACCCCAAGGTTCAGCTCTGTTTGTGCAACTCTGCTCAGGGCAACTGGGCTCCAGCTTGCCCGACTGTCAGAGAGGTCCAGTCACCCACCCATCTGCCCGCCCTATAAAGCAGCAGAAGGGTAATTCCATGAGTAGGAATGGGACAAAGCAACCCCTTCAGGCTGGCAGGGCTGTGAGGGCTTGGGAGGGGGGCAGTCCTCTATCAGGTATTGCCAGCAGCGAAGCAGGGAATGTGGATGGGCTGAACTGACTCATGGAAAGAACGAGAGAACGTGGCATGGATCTCAGTGGCTTTGAATCCTTCTCTGAGGACTAACATCCTCTAGTTGGGGCAAAGCTAATGTCCTGGTGATCCTGTGTTACCCAGAGTCCTGAAGCATTAGGACTGCTCCTGCCTCTTTGGGTGCGTAGGAAAGAACAGTTTGTAGAGTTATCATGGAAAAAGAATCAGAGAACTCATGGAAGGTCAGAGAAGCACTGAATCATTCATTACCTAGAGACACTGATGGCTCTTCTCCATGGAAGTCCCATCAAAGACTTCATTTCCTAACCTTAATGTATACTAGTATATAATCTATGGATCCACTGACCAGGGCTGGGGGAGACCTCTTGGCTGACATGACCCCGAGAACAGACAAGGAAACAAGCCTGTTGTTGTGCTTCCTTCCCTCTTGGTGCCTGTAGCAATTCACGATCCCCAGCCCTCGGAAGGTTCCTGGGACCCCTCAATCTTTGGGCAGCAGACTGAGAAGGGGCCCTGCAGTACTTTGCCCAAGCTGTTCTGGCGCAGTAGCCAGCAGTCTGCCTGGCCGGGTCCCTCCTGAGTTACACAGTCCAGGTTGGGACCAGCTCCTCCCATGCTGCAGGCCTTGACACCAGCTCTGTCATTGATTGCTGTCTTGCAGTCAGCTAGCCAGGCAGGCATGCCCCAGTCATGCCCCAGCCAGGAGCATCCCCAGGGCAGTGAGAGCAAAGTCTTTTTATCTCTCTGGCAGGGGATGAGTTGGTCCCAACTGACTCTGAAACTCAGGATGGCCCCCTACCCAGGCATCTAGCAGCCTGGTGAGCACGAGGGTTTAGTCTCTGGCTCAGAGATTCTGAAATTGATATCTGGCAAGGACGGGCTGGCAAAGGACAGAGAGGTGGGACTGGCTGCCTCCCTGGGAATGAGAGAGGCTGTCCAGTATCCTGGTTTATTCTTGGCTCCAAAAAATCTGGTGAAAATGAACCTTTAAGCCCCTCTGGAGAGGTGCACGTGGGCACTCAGTCTTATTCTAAGGCTCTAGGAGCCCCCTTGCCACAGAAATAGGACGGTGAACGTGATGGGTGAGTGCAGGTAGCTAGCCAGCCACGAGAACTGACACCAGTAGTCCATTAAGTTGCTACTGCTCTCCCAGGGAGGGTCTTCATGAGTGGCAGAACCCGAGCTCTGCCCCAGGTTGGACCAGGGCTGCTTGTCCACTACCTAGAGAGATGTTTTTCCAAGATAGACGGGAATGGAACAGATAGTGCTAGGAGAGGAAGGAAAGGCCAGCCCAGTTCAGACCTCATTTCTCACCACTTAATGCTGGCTTATTCCAGGAGAAGGATGTGAGCAGGTTGTGGCTACTGTCAACTAGCTGGGGCTCTAAAGTGCATTTTATTCATTGCCAGAACCTATGGGTAAGCAAAGGGGGTAAGAAACATCTGAAAACAATCTCTAATGGTCTGGGCCAGTGGTTGGCAAACTCATTAGTCAACAGAGCCAAATATCAACAGTACAACGATTGAAATTTCTTTTGAGAGCCAACTTTTTTAAACTTAAACTTCTTCTAACGCCACTTCTTCAAAATAGACTCGCCCAGACCATGGTATTTTGTAGAAGAGCCACAGTCAAGGGGCCAAAGAGCCGCATTTGCCTCGCGAGCCGCAGTTTGCTGACCACGGGTCTGGGCTCAGGAAGGTTCCTGGAAGATGCAAGGTGGGCACTGAGTTTTGAAGGATGAGGAGGGCAGAGAAGTGCAAAAATGAGGAAGGGCTGTCATAAACTTGTCATAATAGTAACAGTGGCCTTCAACCCAGTTTTAGGATTTGCAAAGAGCTCCTGCCCAAATGAGGCTGGGAACTGTTTCCAGTTCACTCCGGAGCACCTGGATGTTCCATCATGACATAGTGAAGGCTCCAAACCCAACAATGAGAGAGAGAGAGGGACCTACTGTTGGGACCCTCCCAGGACATGTGCCCTTTGACAGTTTGGCTGCCACCAAAGTTCCTCTTGGGTTAGCTGATACCAATCAGACATCACAGCACAAACTGCGGTGGTGACTCTGTTATCAGGGCATGCTGCAGATGTGCCTGGGAGGGCGGGAGACCTGACCGTGGGGCAGCAAATACTCACTGTATCAGCACACACGTGATGATGAGGCCAGCCAGGGCCACGACGGAAACCACCACTAAGGCGGTGATGGCCTGCTTCTTCTGGCTGGCGGCCACCACGGCCAGGAGGTCTGCATGCTCACAGCGCGCTCCGACATACCCAGAGTGGCAGCTGGGAAAGAAAGGGACATCAGCACGCTCTCCGGTAGAAGGTCTTGTTCCCCCCAACTCCTCAGGGAAGGCCTCAGGAAAAGCCCAAAGGGACCCCTCCAGGTGTCAGGAAAGTCACCCCCACTTCCCTGCACAGGCACTTCTTGCTTGGAGAATGAGGGGCAAGGAACCAGCTTTATCATGTGGGGATGAAAGGTGCTGCTGAAGCACTTCATTGTTATTGTCACCAAGCCAGCTCTTGGGGGAATGAAGGAGGCAGCAAATGTGTTTATGACACGGAGTTCATTTTGGCAGGTCATAAAAATTGAGTTTATTTTTAAACCAAATGTGTATATTCAGAATTTTTGATGACGAGCTTAAACCAGCAGGAGACACAGGCTGTGGTTTTTTTACCCGTATTTCCTGGTGTATAAGACGACTTTTGAAACGAAAAAAAGTCAACTGAAAATTGGGGGCAAAAGACCAAAATTGCACAAAAATTACCTGCAGATCTTGACGGCAAAGTAAGTCTTTTCTTTGAAGTAGGGAGTAGTTTTATACAGCGAATATAGGCATAAACCTATGTTTTAACTGTAAAAATTAGGGGGTCGTCTTATACGCCCGGTAAGTTTAATTAGCTCTGCAAGCATTTACCTGGTGGCCCAGTGCACGAGGCACATACTGACATTAGAGCCAGCACTGCTAACTGGTCATTGTAGGACTTGTGAAGCCACTGATCTCCTGTGAACTCTGGACCTCATTTCCAACAACAGCTGGCCTTTCTCCACTAGAGGATTAGTAAGGGCACAAGAGGTCATGTTCATGAGATGTGTGTAATCTAAAGGACACTATCCACACAAGCCACTGCTTTTACTGGTATGGCTACTATTCAGAGGCTCTTTGGCATCACTCATTTCAGTAACAGCCTCCTCCTATGTGCTAAAGGCAAATGCTGCTTCTTCCATCTCGCTCTGGCCTCTCCTACCCATCTCCATCCCCCGCCCCGATTCTGGGGCAGCCACACGTGCTTCTCACGTGATGATTCCTTAGGACATGTTCATAGGAAGTGATGGCCATTTTCTGATGCAGGCGTTTCCCCTCTTCAAAGCATATTCTTCTTTTCAATAGAAGATACTTAGCGTACACCTTGGTTTCTTTGTCTGAGGTGACTTTCAAATTGTGATGAAAATGTTTGATCACCTTGGCCTTCTCAGGTGAGGAGCCTTCCTTCTCACAGGGAACTTCCTGGGGCAGCCTTGCACCAGACACCACACCTGGTTTTAAGTTTTGTTTTGCTCCCCCTCTGACATGGCAATGATAGCTAAACTTTTGATTTTTGATGAAGTAGATAGCCTGCCAACTTCACTTTTAGATTAAAAGACACCCGAGGAACATGGAAAAATGAAAAGGAGGTGAAAGGTCGGGGTGTGCCAGCCTATTGTGCCAGTGCTAGCCTCAGAGGCATTCCATTTGTGAGTTCCCTAAACCTGTGCTCCTGGCTGCCAGACTCCACAAGCCAGAAAGGCCCTTGGAGTTAGGTCCTTGGAATCTACTCCCTCCAATTTATTACCTATCAACAAGGTTCCGGCTAATCCAAGTTGTCTCACCTTCTTCACTAGCCCAGTGTCAAATAAACGTGTCCAGCATATAGGCACGTAGGACCCACCTGCCTAGTGAGTGAATACTACCCTCCCACTTGTCCATTTCAACTCCTATTACCTTATTTGCCTGGACAATTATTACTCACTCTCCTCCTCAGATTCCATCTCAAATACTACATTTTCCAAAAAGATGTAACTTACAGACCCACTCACCCATCCCTTCATCTTTCATAGCTCTTTCCATGGCTCTCCCTTTACCTCTCCTCCTCCTCTGAATGCCTTCAGGACTATGCCCACCTCTCTGACTGCCCTTCCACTAGCCTCACTGTCAGGCAGACTCTATGTTTTTGTTAATCAGCTTAACAATAACCCACAACCTTCGGACCAACTAGACTCTATGTTTTTGTGGGTAAGACCCAGCTATACAAAAACTGTGAATCACTGAACAGAATGGGCTGGGAGCCTGGGCTTTGTGGTACATAGTTAAGATTTCTAACCAGGAGTTGCAGCCAAGCCATTAGCACTTCTCTGTAGACAATATTAGTGCAGCTTCTTTCTAGAGAAGAGTAGTGGTGAGGATTAGCATAAAAATCTGTGAAAGGTCCAGGTTATAGGTGGGTGAACACCTATGAAGCAATTTCATTTGGCTTGAAATGTTCCTTCTTTAACCTTCAGGCTATGGGAGAGACTGATCCTACCACCTCCCCAACCACTTGATTCTGAAAACCCTATGAATTAACAAATGAATGCTGGGAATTCTAAGAAATCCTATTTAAATAAAAGGTGTCAGGCAGGTGCTAATTACAGCATCTATCATTTATCAAGACAATAGGCTAACCTCCTACATGAATTATCTTTTATTGTTATTTTTTTTTTAAGAGAGAGAGAGAGGGAGGGAAAGAGAGAAACATTGATGAGAGATGAGAAACATCAATCTGCTGTCTCCTGCACACGACCCAATGGGGATCTAGCCAACAACGCAGGCATGTGCCCTGACCAAGATTTGAACTGGCAACTTTTTGGTGCACAGGACGACACCCCAGCCAAGTGAGCCACACCCAGCCAAATGAGCCACAGTCAGGGCAAATGACCTCTTAATCTAAACAATCACAGAGCATGTAAGCTCAGGGTTATATTTACCTTGTTTTGCAGATTAGGAAATGGGAACTTCTAGAAGTTTAAAAACCAATACTCTCAACTATGAAGGCTAGCTTTCTGGGGTAATGCAAATTAGTTTGGATGATACTCTGGAATAGTGATTTAATGACAAACTCACAAACCTCATAACAAATCAGGTATATGGGCTGCTGACTGCCCCATCAAGTATGGAAAATTGCAAAGATGCTCCAAATGCCCCGGAGAAAGAGAACATCTGGGCTAAGCCACATTTTGTTGACTTCCCACGTTCTACCTACCAGAGAAATATCTGTGTGTTCTGGGTCCTTCACAGTCAGCTCTGCCTGACTCAAAACAACCCTAGCAATGGTCCTAGCGCATTAAGAATGTCTTCATGCCAACACTATTGCCTGTCACCTCAGTGTTACAGCTGCAAATACAGCGGAGCCTTGGACATCACAGGTTTGAACTATATGGTTCACTTATATGTGGATTTTTTTCAATAAATACCTGTATTGTTTGTGATCCCTAGTTGGGAGTCCGCCAATATGTAGGGCCGACTATATGCATTTATTTATGGCATTTATATAGGGGACTTGAACATCTGCAGGCTTTAATGTTGGTGGGCAATTAATCCCCTGTGGATACCCAGGGATATCTAAATTTTTGGGCAGTTGAAAGTTAATATGTGGATTTTGGTCTGCGTGGAGGGTGATTGTCATTCAAGAGTCCTCTGTACTCAAATCTCAGTCTCATTGGGTTGGGGATCCCAATGTGCTCTGAATGCAAACTTACCCAGTGAGGCAAGGAGGCACCGGGGTGACTGCCTAATAGGTCATGGCCTAGGTGAGCAAGTCTTAGCCCCAAACAGTCCAAATGTAGTAGAGAGGCAGAATAGCTTGTGGTTTTGATGCTTGGGCTTTCCTAACACAACCCAGGTCAAAATCACTCTGAAAATGGGTGTTTTAAAGAAAAGGCCAAAGGCAATTCTGATGAAGGCAGAGCTAACAGCCACCATGAAGGTTTTACCAGTGACATCAACTCTAGTTGCCCATTGGAATTGCCTGGAAAGGCTGAAAACATGATGATGTCCAGGCCACACCCTAGACCAACTGAATCTGAATCTTTGGGAATAAGGCCTGAGCATCCCTATTTTTAATGCCCCCCCAGAGGAATCTACTGGGCAGCCAAAGTTAAGAACCATAAGTTAGACCTTCTGGCCTTGAGGTGGAGAGGAGGTCCTTTCTTTCTCAATCATTTCTATCAATGGGGATGCTTCCCAGATGGGGAAAAAGGAAAGATTGGTGACTATTTTCTTGGTATTTTTTTTAAACATCCCAAGCTTCTACTAATATTAGACTTAATTATGCTGATTATTTTAGGTACAAGTTACACAAGAAAGGGAAGAGTCACTTCACTTGATCACAAATGAATGACACTTAATTCCGCTGCTATACTCTCCTTTACCTCAGGTAGGTGCTGGTTTCTACCTGACTGCACATAAGAACCATCTGGGAAGCTCTGGGAAATGCCAGGGCCAAGGTCACACCCAGGAGATGACCATCCCATTGCTTTGTGTACCCAGGTGATTCTAGTGTGCTGTCAGGCCTAAGAACCACCAAGATAGAACTATCATTTAAGTACACAGAATCAAGAACCAACAATTCAAAATCTGCCACTTCTCCTCCTCCCTCCCCAATTCTCTCCTCTACCCCCTGCCCCAGGGGCTTTTCCTCAGGGTGATGGCTATAAAATGGGCCACCTTATATCAAGTGCAGGAGAAACAGAGTTGTACTACTATTTACAACAGGAATCTGAATAAAATAGGAGTTATCTATCACAGAGGGGAATGGGAAATGTGTAGGACTGAACTTTCAAAAAACATCATTTGCCCATTCAAATTTCAGCTGTCTAGAGTGGGTTTTGCCAAACACAAGTTCCTAGGATGCTGTTTTGTCTTCATAATGCTGAAAATGAGGCTCTGGAATTACATTTAGGTTCTTTTTCCCAAAAGAAGAACCAAAAAGAAAGAAGTGCATAAAAAAGAAAGTGTAGCCTAGGAGGGCAAGGAGATTGTCTGAGCTGTGAAGGAGGTTGTCTGAGCTGTGAAGGAGGTTGTCTGAGCTGCAAACGGAGCAAGTGTAGATAGAGATAAAAAGCAACATGCTCCAGCCAGAGGAGTCCCTGAGGCCTTTGTATTTCTGTTCCTGATTTGTCTGAAGGTTACTTTGGTGCTTTTCCTAGAAGCAAATTTTGTGGCTGTAGATCTCTCTGTTTTAATAAGAAGAGTGAAAATATCTATGTC